GGCTTTCAAACATTTTAGAATAGTTGGAAATTATTTTATATCTGGATCCATATATCCTTATATACATGTATGAAACAGATTCATTGCAGTTACAGATATTTACTTCTACTCTTTTTTTACTCTGTTTTTATTTTAATCATAGTGTGACCCCTGAAATTGATTTCAGAATTAATGTCTTCATCCTTAGTTTGTTAACATTGCCCTAGGTATTATGTGTAAGGGTGACAGCATCATTACTGAGACGAAGTGTGAGGACATGTGATCCTTGTTTCTTCTTAAAGTGATTTATCCTTTTAGTCCTTTGAGGATGTTTTATTACTAGAAATATTGTTGTGCTTTGCCAGTCATTTACTACTCACACACAATTACCAGTTTTCTTACCCCTTCCCCCCCTTTTTCTTTTTGTAGTTTTCACTCATCATTACACAATTAGGTGTTTCTTCCCTATGTTATTAAAAGCATTTAACACTTGGGTATTTTGTATGCTTATGAGGGAACAGCAAAGAATAAAAATCCAGTTGCAAAATATTAACATTCTTACTGAACTTCATAAAGATAAACGTATCAGATACCATTACTTGATATAAACAGCTATAAAGTAATTGGCTGGGCCATACTTGCACTGCGAGTAAAAGTTAAAGATATGGAAAGGAGCCTAAACTCTAGCAAATTTGGCTGGGTGCAGTGGCTCACACCTGTAATCCCAGCACTTTTGGAGGCTGAGGTGGGTGGATCACTTGAAGCTAGGAGCTTGAGACCCGCCTGACCAACATGGTGAAACCCTATCTACTAAAAATATAAAAATTAGCCGAGCATGATGGTACGCGCCTGTAATCCTAGCTAGTCAGGTGGCTGAGGCATGAGAATAGCTTGAACCCAGGAGGTGGAGGTTGCAGTGAGCCAAGATTGCGCCACTGCACTCCAGCCTGGGTGACAGTGAGAGTCTGTCTTAAAAAAAAAAAACCTCAAAAAACCTCTAGTAAATATTAGGTGTTTTTTGTTTTTGTATTTGATTTTTTGTTCTTTTGAGATAGAGCTTGCTCTGTTGCCTAGGCTGGAGTGCAGTTGTGCAACATGGCTCACTGCAGTCTCTGCCTCCTAGGTTCAAGCGATCTTCCTGCTTCAGTCTTCTGCGTAGCTGGGACTACAAGGTGCCCACCACCATGCCCGGCTAATTTTTGTGTTTTTAGTAGAGATGGGATTTTGCCGTGTTGGCCAGGTTGGTCTCGAACGCCTGACCTCAGGTGATCCTTCGGCCTCCCAAAGCGTTGGCATTATAGGCACGAGCC